TTGTCACTTGTTTTTCACTCATTTCTGCTCACAGTGCTTCTGTTTGGGCGGGTCTTCTTCCTGATGTTGCTGTCAGTCGAAACCGCTACACCTATCTCTACATCCGTCTTCTTCTGTTTGTCTACCACCACGATGTCCGGTTGGTTAGCCACCACCATTTTGTCCGTCTGTATTTGTAAGTCTCACAGGATCATGGCCCTGTCATTCTACACCACCCTTGGGGGCGTCTTCCCCTTTTGACCTCGGGACTTCCAGGCTGTATTCGGCACAAATGTTTCTGTACACTATGCCGGCCACTTGGTTATGGTGCTCCATGTATGCCCTGCCTTAAAGCATCTTGCACCTTGCTGTTATGTGCTGGATTGTCTCAGGGGCATCTTTACACAGCCTGCACCTGGGGTCTTACCTGTTGTAATAGACCTTCCTAGCAGCCTCTTCATTGTTCCCATTTGCCAGTGGGATTTCCAGGCATTTGTAGCTGTCCTCTACGTCTGCAATGTTGCTTTTGGTAATTCAATCCCCTCAGTTCTAACTACCTTCCTTCTTTTTCTTATCATCCGACTAAATTTCTCCAGTCTGAATGACATTCTGATGTCATTGCTGGATATCCTGGTGGTGTGGATCAGTGAATCGATGTCTCATTCACTCTTGGCATACAGCTTGATGTCATCCATGTACAGGAGGTTGCTGACAAGTGCTCCCTTACGTAGTCGGTATTTGTAGCCAGTCTTGTTGGTGAGCTCACTCAAGTGGTTCATGCCTATGCAGAACAGCAGTGGGGACAAGGTCAAGGTAACTTTATTTATACCCAAAGGCAAGGTAAATTCGCTTTACAGAAAAATGACAGCATTTGGCATCCCTTCAAAAACACACATACCTAAAGATATAAACCTCACTGTGGCACATATATAGTAATTTAATATTTCAAATCAAAAAAACAGTTCTTATTTAATTCAGTGACAGCAACAGGGACAAAGCTATTTTTATAACGCTTTGTCCTGCATCTTGGAAATAGAAACCTCCGTCCTGAGGAAAGACGCTGAAATTCATCCCTTAGAGGATGGGAACCATTTTTAAGGATTGATAAAGCCATCCTCTGTACCTGCTCAGAGTACAGGGAGGCTAAACAAGACTGTAGCTCACCTATCAGACAACTGGACCATCTCACTATCTGATTTAGAGTTTTTCTCTGTGACAGAGGTCTGACCGAACCATGCCACCAAACAAAAGGATAAAACAGACTCAACAAAAGAACGATAAAACAAAGTTAAAATTTTTTGGTCAATGTGGAAATGAGCAAGTTTCCTAAGACAATAAAGGTGCTGGTGACCCTTTTTACAAACTGATTTGCAATTTTGATCAAAGTTCAGTTTTTCATTGATTATGGTCCCAAGATATTTATATGATTGTACTTGCTCTATTTTCGGACCTTTAATTAAAGTGACTGCGTACCCATTTTGTTGTTTCCTAAAGTCAACAACCATATCTTTTGTTTTAGATATGTTCAGCTGGAGATAAGACTCCTCCCACCACTGAACAAAGTCATCAATGACTGGACCGTGGTTAGTTTCACCCTCTTTCAGAAAGCTGACAATAACAGAGTCATCTGCATATTTAATAATGGCCCTGTTTTCATGTCTGCCCTGACACATGTTTGTATAGAGAGTGAATAATAAGGGCGATTTATTCTTTTTGTGACCTGTCAGTTAAATGATCTAAAATCCAGCAAACCAGGTTTTTCCTGATTTCAAACTGTTCCAAAAGTCTTTTAATTAAAATATGGGGCTGTATTGTATTAAAAGCCGAAGAAAAGTCAATGAAAAGAAGTCTTGCAAAACTCTCTTTACTCTCTACATGTTTAAGAATCAGATTTAGTAAAGTCAAAAATGCGTCCTCCACTCCTCTATTGGGCCTGTATATAAACTGCATTGGATCGAGCTGATGTTCAGCCTCTTCATAATCACATTTCTGATGATTTTTTTCAGACACTTTCATTACAACTGAAGTGAGGCAACAGGCCTGAAGTCGTTTAGAATTTTTGGACGACTAGATTTAGGGACAGGAACCACGACTGCTTCTTTGCAAAGAGAGGGCACATGTTGTGTTTGCAAGGATTTATTAAAAATAACCTGAAATATAAGACTGAGTTCTTCAGCACAAGATTTAATTAGACGGCCACTAACATTATCAGGACCCTGGCTCTTATTCACATTGACTGTATGAAAGGCCTTTTTAACATCGCTGAGTTCAATAATAAAGTGCTGAGTATCTCTCAGTTTCTGTTTCAGTTCAAAAATATCCTCGCTGAAATCAGAAGAACTAAAACGAGCATAAAACATGTTTAAAGCATTTAAATCTCTGTCTGAATTAAAACCATCTAAAATGACCTGACTGCTGCTCTGGGGATTTTGAAACCCTGCTATGGTTTTCATACAAGTCCAGGCAGACCCCAAATTTTTGCAGCAAATTTGCTTTCAAGAAGGTTTTTGTCTGTTTTGCTTTCAAGATCTCAATTTTCATTTCCTTGGTGGCTGTCTGAAAATCGGTAACAGCCCCTCTTTAAAGGCCTGTCTCTTTTTACTTAAACAGGATTTGACGCTTTTAGTGACCCATGGCTTATTGTTAGCGTAATCTTTAACACGCTTACGGGGTATAATCATGTCTTTACAAAATACTGCATAAGAGCTAGTAACATCCACCAAAGTGTCGAGATCATCTCCACAAGACTGAATAAAACCTTCCCAATCTGTACACTTAAAACATTCCTGCAAGGTAAGCACAGATTCTTCTGACCATATGTCAACATCCTTAGTCTTTGTCTTCTCTCGTTTTAAGACAGTTTTATAGATGGGCAGAAGATGCACACAGTTATGGTCAGAAGATCCCAGAGGAGGAAGCGGGAGCGATTTATAAGCATTCTTCACCGATCCGTAACAAAGGTCCAACATTTTATCCCGTCTGGTAGGACAGGATACATATTGATACAGATTGCCCAAAGTTGATTTAAGGGAGACATGGTTAAAGTCCCCCATTATAAAGTTTGGTGCATCAGGAGAGAGCGCCTGCAGCTTCTGCACTATGTCTGAAATGATGCTGCAAGTGGAGGCGGGGTGAGCACTCAGGTGAATGTAAACTACGGTAACAAAAAGTTGTGGAAACTCACGAGGGAGATAAAAAGGGCGCAGTGACACAGATAGAAGTTCAACATCTGGTGTACAAATACACTCTCTAACAGTCACAGCGCTACAGTAACATTTGTTCACATACAAGCATACTCCCCCTCCTTGAGATTTCCCTGTTACCCGTGCATCCCGATCTCGGCGAAAGGGAGCTCAAAAACCGTCAATTGAAAAATCGGCATCCTGATCCAGCTCTGTCAGCCATGTCTCGGAAAAAGCCATTGCACAGCTGTCCCTGAAGTCTTTCTGGAACCTGACCTTTCCCTGGAGTTCATCCAGCTTGTTCCTAAGAGACTGAACATTTCCAAGGATAACAGACCGCAGGGGAAACCGACTGACCTTACCATCATACAGTAAGTTAAGTTGTAACAGTTCGTTGCGGGAGTAAACAATCCTCAGATGACTCACGGCCTCGCCCACATCATCGGAAACAAGCCAGCACAGTAGAAATCCAACCACAATGAAGAAAAAAGAATCCACGACGTTCTTACTGTTGTGGAGCCTGTGTCACTTTGTAAGAAAACTGTCACTTCCTTCAACCAAAACACATGCCATTGATAGAAACGAAAAGAAATGATAAGAACTTAAAAACTTAGGATACCAAGCTCTCACTCACTGCTGGTCGATGCGTGTGCATGCGCCTTGTCCTGACAGAGCATCTCCTTGATACATCCCACAATTGATGGGGACTTGCTCCTGGTGAAGGCATTCCAGGACCCAGGCATGGGACATTGAGTCATAGGCCTTCTTGTGATCAATTCAGGCAGTGCACGGGTTGATCAACCTGGTCTTGCAGTCTCAGCTGACTGTTCGATCTACTAGTAGCTGGTGTTTTGCGCCTCTGGTATTCTTCCCAATTCCTTTCTGTGCTCCACTCATGTTTTGACCTATGGTTCTGTTCATCTGTGTCTGTGGTTTAAAGTGACAGTGTTTAGAATCCAGTATTTGTAGTGAGTGTGTAATGGTGTGTGTAAAATGTCAACAGTTCAAAAGCCTGATAGCTTGTGGGTAGAAACTGTCTCTGTGTCTGCTAGTGCAGGTCTGAATGTTCCTAATCTGCCTGCCGGATGGCAGGAGCATGAAACGTCTGTGGCTGGGATCAGAGAGGATCTGCTGCGTCTTGCTCATGCAGCGGTGTCTACAGAGATCCTGCATAGCTGGCAATTCAGTCCTGGTGATGCACTGTGCTCTCACCACCCTCTGCAGAGCTATGTGGTCCGGAACATTACAGCTGCCATACCAGGTGGTGAAGCAGCCAGTCAGAAAAGTTTCAATGGTGCATCGATAGAAGTTTGTAAGTGTTCTGGGATTCATGCCGAATCTTCTCAGGTGCAGAAAGAAGAGCACCTGTCTTGCTGCTTTTGTGATCACACCAACATGGTGTGACCAACTCAGATCCTGACTGATGTTGATGCCCAGGAAGCTGAACCATCTGACTCTCTCCACCTCTGCTCCATTGATTTGGATGGGGGTGTGGTCTCCTCTCTGCAGTCTCCTGTAATCCACAATGAGCTCCTTGGTTTTGCTGCCATTAAGCAGCAGGTTGTTGTCGCGGGACCATGATGTCAGGGCTCTCACCTCTGCCCTGTATGCTGTCCTGTCATGTGACGCATACAGGGCAAACCACAGTCACTACCCATTCCTTGACCATGAGGGCACAAAAAAGCAAAACACTGAAGATACATTTTAATATGGATTTGAACTTTTCTAAATTTAATTTTATATGAAGTGACTTCTAACATTACATCATTACATTTTTAACAAATTGAGTTTTGAACCTGGTTAAAGTAAGGACACATTTTATATTTTCTCCAATCACAGACTGGCTGATTGTCGTCTGTCAGAAACTCACTGTGAAGTTGTGGTCTCAGCACTGAAGTCCAAGTCCTCCCATCTGAAAGAGCTGGACATGAGTTACAATGATCTGCAGGATTCGGGAGTGAAGCTTCTGTGTGCTGTACTGGAGAGTCCAAACTGTCGACTGGAGACTCTGAGGTGTGTTCACTGACTGCAGCTGTTGTTGTGTCTTTCCAAATGACAACAAACTATTGTTGAATTCAAAATCCTGCTCCTCACATACAAGGTCTTAAATAATCAGGCCCCATCTTATCTTAATGACCTTGTAGTACCATATCACCCCATTAGAGCACTTCGCTCTCGCTCTGCAGGCCTACTTGTTGTTCCTAGAGTATTTAAAAGTAGAATGGGAGGCAGAGCCTTCAGTTTTCAGGCCCCTCTTCTGTGGAACCAGCTTCCAGTTTGGATATGGGAGACAAACACTTATCCTATTTTTAAGATGAGGCTTAAAAGTTTCCTTTTTGCTAAAGCATATAGTTAGGGCTGGATCAGGTGACCCTGAATCCTCCCTTAGTTATACTGGAATAGGTGACCACTGGGGGATTCCCATGATGCACTGGGTGTTTCTTCTACACTCAATCTCTGCACTGAATCATACTTGTTAATAATCTCTGACTCTATTCCACAGCATGTCTTTCATCCTGTTTTTCTTCTCTCATCCCAGCCGGTCGCGGCAGATGGCCACCTCTCTGAGCTCCCTGAGCTCCCTGAGCCTGGTACTGCCAGAGGTTTCTTCCTGTTAAAAGGGAGTTTTTCCTTCCCGCTAAAGTGCTTGCTCATAGATAAAATTGAATTGAATTGAGTTCTACAGGGTTTGGCACTGGAACCAATAAATCAAATGCATCCCAACAGCATTTTCAGGACTTCATTTGTTCCACATTTTGGGCTTTTTTGAGGTGAAAAATGAATTGTATAAATTTTGGAATAAGGCTATAACAAGACAAAACTGGAACAAGTGAGTACTGGGAATACTTTCTCGATGCACCATTCCTCCATTAGCTAGTAGTATTAGAAAATACACATATAGTTTTTATTTGAATCATTTATGATTTGAAATCCATCTACTCTAGGATTGATGCTAAAAAAGAGAGTTCAGGCATTCCTTCTTTATTATAGCCTTAGCGAGATGTCTTCAGATAATCCAAAATGCCGCTGTGAAAGTATTAACAGGGACCAGAGAGAGGGACCATATTTCCCTAATATTCACTTCACTGGCTCCCTGTTAAATCCAGAATTAAACTAAACTAAATTCGTAATGTCACATATAAATTTATCAGGTCCATCATAAAGACCTCTTTATATCATTGTACCATATTATCCTAACAGAGCATTTCATTCTCAGACTGCTTGCTTAAGGCTATTGGGGAAAAAAAATCATGAATTCACAAAGTGTTTAGGTGCAAATTTGCTATGTAAAGTATATACAGACCAAAACTGTTTGTCTACTCGTCCTCAAAAACACAGTGCAAAAAAAAAAATGTTATTCTGGATTCATCCAATCTTAACAAGAAGGCAACAGCATGGAGAATTCTGTGCTCATGCTTATTGTTCTTATTTAAAAGTAGAATAGGAGGCAGAGCTTTAGGAGCTTGGAAAGAAAGCACCTGGACTGCTGTGAGTCTGCACTGAAAATTTCTTTCTTGTCACTCAATTTTTAAAATTTTTTTATTTAAATACCACTACTGCATGTCATTAACTTTTGCTTACTTTCTCTTGTGGTTAGTTTTTCTCCTTGTCTCCTTTTCCCTCACTCATCGCCCTAAACCAATTGCAGTAGATTGCTAACCCTTCCTGACCTTTGTCTTTTTAGAGGTCTCTTCCTGTTAAAACTGCTTTTCTTTCTTTCTTGCTCATAGGGGATTTTCTGTAATATTGCAATGTCTTATCTTAACTAACTTGAGTTGAGTGGTGTCACCTGTTGATAATTGCCACTTTATAAATATAAATGCAGATTAACTGAATGGAAATATGGCATAGTCTTTGGGAAAAAAAGAAGAAGAAGAAATCATCATATTAAAACAGACCTTCAGTAAAGTGTTAACAGATGGATTTTCTTTTGTAGTCTGTCAGGTTGTCTAATCACAGAGGAAGGTTGTGCTTCTCTAGCTTCAGCACTGAGCTCAAACCCCTCCTATTTGAGAGAGCTGGACCTAAGCTACAATCATCCAGGAGACTCAGGAATGAAGCTGCTGTTGGCTGGACAGAAGGATTCGCACTGGAGACTGGACACTCTCAGGTATGGAGAGAATGTCTGATAAAGGAGGAAACATGTTCTGTGTCTATCACTCAGTTGAATAATCTATTATTCAGTAATCCTTGTTTCTTCTTCTTGTTATAATAATAATAATAATAATAATAATAATAATAATAATACATTTTATTCGAAAGTGCCTTTCAGAACACTCAAGGACACTGTACACAGCAGAATAATAAAAGCAACATAAAAGCAAGCAGTTTACATAATCATAAAAGGATAAGACATAAAACAAATTTAAAGTAGCAGAGTGGAGAGGTTATGTGGGATAAGCTATTTTGAACAAGTGAGATTTGAGTTATAAAGAGAGAGAAGGAAATGATATTTCTTGAATCAGAAGGTCGGGAATTCCAGAGTCGGGGAGCAGAGCAGCTGAAAGCCCTGCTCCCCATGGTGGCAAGACTGGGGGAGGGGACGGAGAGAGAAAGAGAAGAAGAAGATCTAAGACACTGAGATGGGGCAGTGATCTGAGCCAGATCAGAGAGATATGGAGGAGAGAGAAGATGAATAGCCTTAAATGTGTAGAAGAGTATTTTGAAATTGATAAGATATTTGACAGGGAGCCAATGAAGCTGCTGCAGGACAGGAGTGATGTGATGGATAGAAGGGGTCCTGGTGATAGTACGGGCAGCAGAGTTCTGGACGGGTTGTGGATGGATTTTTGAGTAATGAATTAAAGTAATGGAGTCGGGAAGTAACAAGGCTGTGAACAAAGATGGCATGGTATGTGGGGTGAGAAAAGGACAGAGATGATTAATGTTGCACAATTGAAAATATGCAGACCGAGAGACATTATTAATGCGGGAATTAAAAGATAGAGTACTGTCGAAGATGACGCCCAAACTTTTTACAGCGGAAGAAACGGAGACCGGCAAGTTATTGATAGTAATAGAGAAACTGTTGGCTCTGGATAATGTTGATTTAGTGCCTACCAAGAGGAGCTTGGATTTGTTACTATTGAGTTTGAGAAAATTGGAAGAGAACCATGAATTTAGTTCGGCTAAGTAGAGGGTAAGGGAGGATGGGGGGAGAGCAGAATCAGGTTTAGTGGACAGATACAGCTGCGTGTCACCAGCATAACAGTGAAACTGTATATTATATTTACGAAAAATGTGTCCAAGCAGAAGAAGTTAGATAATGAAAAGAGGGGCCCCAGGACAGATCCCTGGGGCACGCCAGTGACCAGAGGAAAGGACTGAGAAGTAAAAGATTTGAGTCGAATAAACTGAGTGTGATCAGAAGGGAATGAGAAATAGTGTCGAAAGCAGCAGTCAGATCGAGGAGAATATGAATGGAAAGTAAAGTCAGTTGCCATAAGAAGTTCATAAAAGTTCACTTTTATGAACTTTAAAGACCATTACGAATGTTTGCCCAGTTAGATCAATGATAGACTTAGTTACATGTGACAATATTAAACTTGTTTGGCAGCCCTTAGATAATCCTGCTCATATTTCTTATTATTCACTTACATTGATAAATTCAAGTGTTCCTAAACCTGCTTCCTGTAACACATTCAAATATTTGTATTTGTGTTTTTGTTAATCCCAGAGCCCCGTAAGTGAAGGTTCAGAATGCCGTATCATCACATGATTTGTGCAGATTTCAGATAGTTCCTAAAGTGCTTAGCTTTAGTTAAGATTCAGTCTGAGGATTTAGGTCTTACCGCAAAATCTTCAGGCTCGTCAATCCTCCTATGGCCTCTCCTTTGGAAAAAACTGCTGATCTTAAACTGGACACAAAACACTACACACATGAAGGCTAATTTAAATCATGCTCTCAAAAACTGACATACTGTATTTGTAACTCTGTCTGTGAAAGTGGATTGGAGAAATATGTGCTTAAAGTTATGTTTTGAGAACATGGGATCTTTTGCAAGTACATAACGTTGAATCACTGGGATAGTTGGTTGTGGTGGCCAATAGACTTACATTCGTTTATGTTAGCACATTAGTGACAGAATAAATAACTCAGTGGAATGCAAGGGGCCTAAAACTAAAAAAATCAGTGTATCAGTGTTTTGTGCTGCCCCTGGCTGTAACATTGACTTATATGTTAAAACCAAGGATATACTGTCCACATATAAAATATGAAAACTACAGATCAAAATCATCAGCAGTTTGATCCATTTATCGATTGAAGTGTATTTGTAAAGATGTTGGACTGCTTCTTTATCAGTGTGTAACAGTGTGTGTGAGAGCCATGTAATGTCCATGTGTGCATGCTGACTGTGCTGCTCTGACCCCCCTCCTCCTTTCAGGGTGGAGCCTGCTGGAGTCCGATGGTTGAGACCAGGTCTGAGGAAGTGTAAGTGTGTTTTTAATGGGATTCATGAAAACAAAGCAGCACACATTCAACCATCTTCATCATGTCAGGAGTCATCATCAAAGTGTCAATCAATGAACAGATGATGGATCAATAACTGCAGCTGGATTGTGTTTGTTCTCTCCATCAGATTCCTGTCAACTCACAATCGACACAAACACAGTGAACACAAAGCTCCAACTGTCTGACAACAACAGGAAGGTGACACATGTGGAGGAGGTTCAGTCATATCCTGATCATCCAGACAGATTTGATGTTCGTCCTCAGCTGCTGTGTAGCAATAGTTTGACTGATCGCTGTTACTGGGAGGTTGAGTGGAGAGGAGAAGTTGAGATATCGGTGAGTTACAGAGGAATCAGAAGGAAAGGAGACGGTGATGACTGTTGGCTTGGACTGAATGATCAGTCCTGGAATCTGTACTGCTCTGATCGTGGTCCGGATTCTGTCTGGCACAATAACAAAGAAACAACCATATCCTCCTCCTCCTCCTCCTCCTCCTCCTCTGTCTCTAACAGAGTAGCAGTGTATGTGGACTGTCCTGCTGGCACTCTGTCCTTCTACAGAGTCTCCTCTGACACTCTGATCCACCTCCACACCTTCAACACCACATTCACTCAAACTCTTTACCCTGGATTTGGGTTTAGATCAGGTTCCTCAGTGTCCCTGTGCTGAGTTGAGTGTAAAGTGTGTTAGAGAAACACTCTGACTGTTGAACAGATAAAGTCTGTACATGTCTGTCTCTTGTTTTCAGATTCATGGAATGATTCAGTTGATCTTTTAAACTGTTCTAAATGATTCCTTGTAATCATCTTAGCTTTTTCAACCCTTTAAAAATGAAGAAGCTATTATTATTCCAGAATCCACATATTGTTTTTCTGGCTTTGTCATAAAATATAATCTAAAATATTAAAGATATTCATTATTGCTCATGTTTTTGTAATTTTATTTATTCATTTATTTATTTATTTAGGACAGTGCATGTTAATGAACATAAATGTAAAAAAAAAAAATTACATGAATGTAAACATGCCAGATTATAGCCAAAGGCTAATTTCCATCTGTTGTCCTTAAACATAAAAAAATTGACATAATAATTCATAAAAATTCATCATTCATTCATAATAAAAACTCCATCACCAAACTTACACATACACACCATTCTGTTCCCAAATAAAACATTAAAACTATACAACTCATACATGATCACACACTTGATTTGTCCATAACCAGTTTTTAACCTTTGCCTTAAACAAGTTGAATGCCGAGCTTTCTCTAATGGGTTGAGGAAGACTGTTCCACAGATGGCCTCCCTTGACAGAGAGGACGTTCTGCCCAAATGCTGTCCGTCTGTGGGGTATAAACAAGTCTCCTCGGATTGTAGCTCAAGTGGTCCTGTCTGAGCTTTCTTCATGCCTAATGAACTGCTTTAGTGGTGGTGGAGCAAGGGAGTGTAAGACTTTATATATTAAACACACTCTTTTAAGTTTCACTAAGTTATTGAAGTTCAGTAATTTATGTTTTTTTAACACATGACAGTGGTGGTGGGAAGTCGGTTTTTTGTCAAGTAGTTTTAAACTTCTTTTATAAATGTTTTCAATAGTTTTACAGTGGGGCAAAAAAGTATTTGGTCAGCCACCGATTGTGCAAGTTCCCCCACTTAAAATGATGACAGAGGTCAGTAATTTGCACCAGAGGTACACTTCAACTGTGAGAGACAGAATGTGAAAAAAAAAAATCCATGAATCCACATGGTAGGATTTGTAAAGAATTTATTCGTAAATCAGGGTGGAAAATAAGTATTTGGTCACCTCAAACAAGGAAAATCTCTGGCTCTCACAGACCTGTAACGTCTTCTGTACGAAGCTTTTCTGTCCCCCACTCGTTACCTGTATGAAGGGCACCTGTTTGAACTCATCATCTGTATAAAAGACACCTGTCCACAGCCTCAAACAGTCAGACTCCAAACTCCGCCATGGCCAAGACCAAAGAGCTTTCAAAGGACACCAGGAAAAGTATTGTAGACCTGCACCAGACTGGGAAGAGTGAATCTACAATAGGCAAGCAGCTTGGTGTGAAAAAATCAACTGTGGGAGCAATCATCAGAAAATGGAAGACATACAAGACCACTGATAATCTCCCACGATCTGGGGCTCCACGCAAGATCTCATCCCGTGGGGTCAAAATGATCATGAGAACGGTGAGCAAAGATCCCAGAACCACACGGGGGGACCTGGTGAATGACCTGCAGAGAGCTGGGACCAAAGTAACAAAGGTCACCATCAGTAACACACTACAACGGCAGGGAATCAAATCCCGCAGTGCCAGACGTGTTCCGCTGCTGAAGCCAGTGCATGTCCAGGCCCGTCTGAAGTTTGCCAGAGAGCACATGGATGATACAGCAGAGGATTGGGAGAATGTCATGTGGTCAGATGAAACCAAAGTAGAACTTTTTGGTATAAACTCAACTCGTCGTGTTTGGAGGAAGAAGAATACTGAGTTGCATCCCAAGAACACCATACCTACTGTGAAGCATGGGGGTGGAAACATCATGCTATGGGGCTGTTTTTCTGCCAAGGGGACAGGACGACTGATCCGTGTTAAGGACAGAATGAATGGGGCCATGTATCGTGAGATTTTGAGCCAAAACCTCCTTCCATCAGTGAGAACTTTGAAGATGAAACGAGGCTGGGTCTTCCAACATGACAATGATCCAAAACACACCGCCCGGGCAACAAAGGGGTGGCTCCGTAAGAAGCATTTGAAAGTCCTGGAGTGGCCTAGCCAGTCTCCAGACCTCAACCCCATAGAAAATCTGTGGCGGGAGTTGAAAGTCCGTGTTGCTCGGCGACAGCCCCAAAACATCACTGCTCTCGAGAAGATCTGCATGGAGGAATGGGCCAAAATACCAGCTACTGTGTGTGCAAACCTGGTAAAGACCTATAGTAAACGTTTGACCTCTGTTATTGCCAACAAAGGTTATGTTACAAAGTATTGAGTTGTATTTTTGTTATTGACCAAATACTTATTTTCCACCCTAATTTACGAATAAATTCTTTACAAATCCTACCATGTGAATTCATGGATTTTTTTTTCACATTCTGTCTCTCACAGTTGAAGTGTACCTCTGGTGCAAATTACTGACCTCTGTCATCATTTTAGGTGGGGGAACTTGCACAATCGGTGGCTGACTAAATACTTTTTTGCCCCACTGTAAGTGTTGTTGGACAAGCAAGTGACCAGGACGTCAAACAATAGTCCATATGAGAGATGATCATTGAGTAAAAATAAGTTTTTGTAACATTCATATTTAAATTATTACGTATATGATTAAAATTTCGATTATTAAATTTAAGTACCTGGGACACTTTATTTATGTGACTCTTGAAGGATAATGTTGGGTCTAAAATGACCCCAAGATATTTAAATTCTGGAGCTAATTCAAGCTCTGCTCCATCCAGGAATATGTTTGACTACTTCAAGTTTAAGGGGCGTTTTGAAAAATACATACCGACAGTTTTTGAGGTGTTCAACATTAGGCATGAGTCCTCCAGCCAGCTATGCATTAATGCTAAAGCAGCTGTAAGATCTTTTGCCACCTGCTAGACACTATTTGCTTGCGTATATATAACTGCATCATCCGCATACATTTGAGCAAATATATTTGGACAGACTTCAGGTAAGTTATTGATAAAAAGAGAGAACAATAAGGGCCCAAGAACAGATCCTTGAGGAACCCCTGTATCACAGTCTAAATATGGAGATTTAACCCCATCCAACACCACACACTGTTTCCTGTGTGAGAGATATGAGGCAAACCACTGAAGAGCCTGACTGGAGATATTAAACTGAGTCAATCTGGACAACAATATATGATGGTTTACAGAGTCGAAAGCCTTCTTCAGATCTAAAAATACAGCTCCAACACAGGGACTCTTGTCCAGCAAGCTCTTCAAGTTCTCCACTAACATACACAGGGCAGTATCTGTGGAGTGATGTGCCCGAAAGTCTAACTGCAATGGATGTAATGAGGGTTGGGTGTTTTCTAGGTGAGCAGTGAGGAGTTTAACCACCCACTTCTCAGCTATTTTAGATACGACCGGGAGTATGCTTATGGGGCGATAATTAGCCATGTCAGTCTTCACACCTGCTTTGAAAATTGGTGTAACTGCAGCAATTTTCCAATCTGTTGGAACAATGGAGTGTTTGAAAGACATATTCAAAACATGAGTTGTTGGACGTACAAGCAAATCCATATGTTCCTTTAGGAAGTTTGTGTTAATACCATATACATCAAGTGCTTTTGATTGTTTTAAACCTGTAATTAGTTTAGCAACTTCAGTGTCTGAAATATGAGTGATGGTGAACAAATTTTGACCAACATCATTCACATTATCAGAGCATACGACTGAGTCAAAGCTCTGACTGATCTCCTTAACAGATGAAATAAAGAAAGTGTTTAAGTTACTGGCAATAGATAGAGGCTCTCTAACAATAGAGTTATTTACATAAAGTTCAATTGTATTTTTACTTTTGTTTGAATGACGGCTTAGTAATTTATTTAAGTGTTGCCAGATAGTTTTACCATTACCTTTGGCTCTTTCAATTATATTTATAAAAATTTTTGCTTTGGCCTGTCTCAAACTTCTTGTTACTTTATTCCGCATTGAAGTAAATCTCTGTCTATCCAGAGTTAGACCTGTTTTCAGGAACTGCTTTAGTAATTGATCTCTTGTTTTCATTAAATTCTTGCACTCTTTGTTTAACCAGGGCAAATTAGATGTTGTCTTTATTTTTTGTCGACCTCTAATGGAGTATGAAGTGACTGCTGCAGAATTGTGGATCGATCATCACTACTCAATAAAGGCTCCCAGTTAGCTGATGCTAATGCTTCTTCTACATTTTGTCGCTGACTTCTTGGTATGAATTCATAAAAGGATCTCCTATTAGATGAACTTTGAAAGTCATTCTTAACCCGTGATTTTAAAAGTTTTCTAGAAAATAATATAAAATTGTGGTCTGAAATACCAGTGATAAAATTATAAGATTTAATAATTCGCTCGGGCTTATTACTGAAAACCAGATCTATTTTAGTTTTAGAGTGTCTTGTTATTCTTGTGGGTTGTTCAATGTGTTGAGTAAAGTTCAAAGTCTCCATTATGTCCTTGAGTGTTTTTCTGTCCTTTTCACAGTCCCAGTTGACATTAAAATCTCCCATTACAATTATTTCATTAGACTTATTATTTATAGCATGATATTTAAGTAATATCTGTAGTTGTTCATAAAAAATATTCTTTGCAGAAGGAGGGCAATATAAACAGATCAACGTAAATGACATTTCTGGGGAAAGAGTGATTTTAACAGAAATATGTTCTATTTCGACATCTATTGGTGAACTAAGTAAAGAGCAATCCAGGTGTTTCTTTACATGCACAAGTATTCCTCCTCCTCTTGTTTCAATTCTATCCCTTCTGAATACTGTGTACTCTGGAAAGACAACTGCAGACTCAGGAGAAGAACTTGTGAGCCAAGATTCAGAGATACCCAAAATAGAAATATTGGAATTGCTTAGAATATGTTCCAGTTGCTCATGCTTTGGTAACATACTGCGAATGTTAATGTGTCCACATAGAAGCCCCTTTGGTTTATTTTTAGTGTCCCAGATTACTTTAGCCTGATTAAATGTCTTGCAGATCTTTGTTCCTGTCATGGTCCTGCGTCCATGACTCAGTGATTTGTGTTTGTGTTTTTTACTGTTATTATTTTCATTATTATCCGTGGGCTGTTTTGGGATGGTTTGTATTTTGGGATTTTAGATACTGGGTTCTGGGGTTGTGTTCCCTCTATTGGTCCCTGGTGTTAGTGTTCCCCTGTCTCGTCAGGTTAATCAGGTCCAGCTGTGTCTCCCACCTGTGTGTGATTTCCCAGTGTCTCTCTGTGTACTTATGGTGTGTGCTTGCCTCTGTTCCTCGTCGCGTCGTCTGTGTTCATACTCTGTGAAATCCCCTGCGTGCTCTCCCTTCAATGTTCCGGTTTGCTACTCCTTGGTGTAGTTTCTCCCAGTTTAGTTCATCCTTAGTTCTGTTTTGCCATCTCCACTTTATGTTTGGTATTGTTAATAAATCGCCGTCACGTCTGAGTAAGTGCTGCATTTGAGTCCTCCTTTCCACTCTTCACACGGCCACTGACCCGAGCCGTGACAGTTCCTCTGTAAATTTTAATAGCAGGATTTCTTGTCCTTTTGTTGACAATACTATGAGAATTTAATGATGAGCCAACCATCCCTTTAACGTTAACTAGTAATGACTTCATGAACTTCTTCACAAATAACATTTTTATCATTAGAGAAAAAATTACCAATAATCATCCCACAGATGTAATATTATCTACAGCTACTCTTAGTACCATTGATGTTAAGTTAGACTCTTTTTCTCTAATTGATCTTTCTGAGTTAACTTCAATAATTACTTCCTCCAAACCTTCAACGTGTCTTTTAGACCCCATTCCTACAAAACTGCTCAAAGAAGTCCTGCCATTAATTAATTCTTCGATCTTAAATATGATCAACCTATCTCTAATGATCAGCTATGTACCACAGGCCTTCAAGCTGGCTGTAGTTAAACCTTTACTCAAAACGCATCTCTAGACCCAGCAGTCTTAGCTAATTATAGGCCAATCTCCAACCTTCCTTTCATATCAAACATCCTTGAAAGAGTAGTTGTCAAACAGCTAACAGATCATCTGCAGAGGCTTATTTGAAGAGTTTCAGTCAGGTTTCAGAGCTCATCACAGCACAGAAACAGCTTTAGTGAAGGTTACAAATGATCTTCTTATGGCCTCTGACAGTGGACTCATCTCTGTGCTTGTCCTGCTAGACCTCAGTGCAGCGTTCGATACTGTTGACCATAATATCCTATTAGAGCGATTAGAACATGCTGTAGGTATTACAGGTACTGCACTGCAGTGGTTTGTATCATATCTATCTAATAGACTCCAATTTGTGCATGTAAATGGAGAGTCCTCTTCACACACTGAGGTTAATTATGGAGTTCCACAGGGTTCAGTGCTAGGACCAATTCTGTTTACATTATACATGCTTCCCTTAGGCAGCATCATTAGAAGACATAGCATACATTTACACTGCTATGCAGATGACACCCAGCTCTATCTGTCCATGAAGCCAGATAACACACACCAATGAGTTAAACTGCAGGAATGTCTTAAAGACATAAAGACCTGGATGGCCGCTAACTTTCTGCTTCTTAATTCAGATCAAACTGAGGTTATTGTACTCGGCCCTGAAAATCTTACAAATATGGTATCTAAGCAGATTCTTACTCTGGATGGCATTACCTTGGCCTCCAGTAACGCGGTGAGGAACCTTGGAGTCATTTTTGACCAGGACATGTCCTTCAAAGCACATATTAAACAAATATGTAAGACTGCGTTCTTCCATTTGTGCAACATCTCTAAAGTTAGAAATATCCTGTCTCAGAGTGACGCTGAAAAACTAGTTCATGCATTTATTACTTCCAGGCTGGACGACTGTAATTCATTATTATCAGGATGTCCTAAAAAACTCACTGAAAAGCCTTCAGCTAATCCAAAATGCTGCAGCAAGAGTCCTGACAGGGACTAGAAAGAGAGAGCAGATTTCTCCTGTTTTGGCTTCCTGTTAAATCCAGAATTGAATTCAAAATCCTGCTCCTCACATACAAGGTCTTAAATAATCAGGCCCCATCTTATCTTAATGACCTTGTAGTACCATATCACCCTATTAGAGCACTTCGCTCTCGCTCTGCAGGCCTACTTGTTGTTCCTAGAGTATTTAAAAGTAGAATGGGAGGCAGAGCCTTCAGTTTTCAGGCCCCTCTTCTGTGGAACCAGCTTCCAGTTTGGATTCGGGAGACAGACACTATCTCTACTTTCAAGATTAGGCTTCAAACTTTCCTTTTTGCTAAAGCATATAGTTAGGGCTGGACCAGGTGACCCTGAATCCTCCCTTAGTTATGCTGCAATAGACGTAAGCTGCCGGGGGATTCCCATGATGCATTGAGTTTTTCCTTTCCAGTCACCTTTCTCACTCACTATGTATTAACAGACCTCTCTGCATTGAATCATATCTGTTATTAACCTCTGTCTCTCTTCCACAGCATGTCTTTATCCTGTCTTCCTTCTCTCACCCCAACCGGTCGCAGCAGATGGCCCCGCCCCTCCCTGAGCCTGGTTCTGCTGGAGGTTTCTTCCTGTTAAAAGGGAGTTTTTCCTTCCCACTGTTGCCAAAGTGCTTGCTCATAGGAGGTCATATGATTGTTGGGTTTTTCTCTGTATGTATGAAGCGCCTTCAGGCGACTTATGTTGTGATTTGGCGCTATATAAATAAAATTGAATTGAATTGAATTGAATTCTGTTTACTTTGACATGATTGTGATAAAACATAAAGACAGGAAATGCAGCAAGAAGCCAAACAGACATCCCGCTGCAGTAAAATGATTCTAAGTTGGTAGATCTGCACTGAGAGCAGATTTCATGAACGCATGAACTGAGGTGATGTTTGACGTCTCGGTGCTGCAGGACTCCATCACAGAGGAGGTGGTGGAGCTGCTCGCTCCTTACCTCCACATGGACGACTACAACATGGAGACGGCCAAGAGGATCTGTGGGAACGTGGCGGGGCTCTGCTCCTGGACTCAGGCCATGGTCGACTTCTTCAGCATCAACAAGGAGGTTCTTCCTCTGAAGGTGAACGCAGAGCTGTCAGTATCCATGAGAGCAGGAGCCAGCCTGACACAGGCGCTCATTATAGTGTGTGTGTGTGTGTGTGTGTGTGTGTGTGTGTGTGTGTGTGTGTGTGTGTGTGTGCGCAGGCTAACCTGGCCATGCAGGAGGCCCGTCTGCTGGTGGCTCAGGCTGAACTCACTAAGGCTCAGGAACAGCTGGATGCTAAACAGCTGGAGCTGGACGCGGTGCAGGTAAAGTGTGTTTGTGTTCCCGCTCTCAGACTGTCGTCTTTAATAAAGACTGAACTGAAGTCAGTCAAATCTCTAATCATGAGGCAGTTTCCTGTTTCACTGTCACTGCAGGTTTTCGACTCTCTTCAGTTTTATTTGGGTTCAAAGTCTTGTAGAGTTTCTGTGCACAGCAGCATTTCAGCCTTCCTCTGTTTTGGTGGTTAAACAGCAGCCGTAACAAGAAATGAGGGAAAATACAAACTTCGTGGTCACTGGTTTGTTGATTTTATGGTTTATTGAGTATTGAACCTTCTGAGAATCATGACCATCTGTAGTTCAGCAGTTTGCTATCAGTTAAATCTGTCTTTGTGAAACTCGCTGACTCGTTTGGACACTTTAGTTTTTCGTCTCCACTCATTTGGTACTCTCTCTTCTTTTTGCACTGATAACATTTTAATCGATTATTATGTTTAAAGTTTGGTAAATGTGTCTGATCTGGACCTTCAGGCGCTTTACGACGCTGCCATGAAGGAGAAGCAGGACCTGGAGGATGACGCCCAGTCCTGCCGCCGGAAGATGGCCAACGCTCGCGCTCTGATCGACGGCCTGGGAGGAGAAAAGGTCAGCTTCTACCTTCCATCCATCTAACGGTTCATTGGTCCATCGTTCCTTCATCTCACACCTCGTCTTGTTGTGCCTCAGGTCCGTTGGACCGACAGCAGCGCGGGGTTTCAGACTCAGATCAAACACCTGGTGGGGGACGTCCTTCTGGCCACAGGCTTCCTGTCCTACGCCGGCCCCTTTAACCAGGAGTACCGCAGCCTGCTGCTGACGCTGTGGAGGAAAGAGATGGAGGAGAAGCTCCTCCCCTTCAGTCCCGTAAGATGTCACGGCTGAACGTTTATACAGAGAATCCACAGACAGTAGGGGTGTGTCCCAGAGACACAGATACCTGCAGCTCAGACAAAGCAGCCATATTATTGGTCAGATGATGAAACACATCACAGCCGCCTTGTTTCTATTGGTTCTTAAACATGAGGAACCAAACCCTGCTGAACGAGCTCGTTCTGACCTGCTGATGATGTAACTCCGTTTCTCCTGCAGGAGCTGAACGTGATTGGTCTGCTGGTGGACAACGCCACAGTGAGCGAGTGGAACCTGCAGGGTTTACCCAGCGACGACCTGTCCATCCAGAACGGCATCGTGGTGACGAAGGCGTCCCGCTACCCGCTGCTGATAGACCCCCAGGGCCAGGGCAAGACCTGGATCCAGAACAGAGAGCGAGACCAGCAGCTGCAGGTGAGAGCGTCAGCACGTGACTCAAAGTCCGAGCGCTTCGCTGACTGTTCGTGATTTTCTTCTTCTGTGGCTCAGGTGACGTCTTTGAACCACAAATACTTCCGTTCCCACCTGGAGGACAGCCTGTCTCTTGGGCGCCCCCTGCTGCTGGAGGATGTTGGTGAGGAACTGGACCCTGTCCTGGACAACATACTGGACAAAAACTACATCAAGTCTGGCTCCACTTACAAGGTAAAACAGCTGATCTGGACCGGAGGCTAAACGAGGAAGAAGACACAGTAACGGATGTTTCTCCTCCTCCTGCAGGTGAAGGTTGGAGACAAGGAGGTGGATGTAATGAAGGGCTTCACGCTCTACATCACCACCAAGATGGCCAACCCAGCATACAGCCCTGAGGTCAGCGCCAGGACGGCCGTGGTGGACTTCACCGTCACTCAGAGAGGCCTGGAGGACCAGCTGCTGGGACGGGTCATCCTGCTGGAGAAGCAGGTCACTCCACCCGCCAGTTATCCAATCAGTGACGTAGTTAATGAGTTAGCTAGTTACATTTCCTACGGTATGTTTGAAGGCCATTGTAGCGCTCGGCACGTCCACATTAAGATGTTTTACACCACACACTCATGCTGTCTGCTTTATGTTGGTGGGAACGTCTGAACCCACGTGTCCGCCCAACATCTCAGCGGAGGCCAAACAGGCCACGAACAAAGATAAAGTTTCTGTGCACTGAACTGAAGGTGGATTAAATATGTCTGCCCTCATTTTGAAATGATTCCCGTGTTCTGATGAAGGAGATGGAGGCAGAGCGAGTGAAGCTCCTGGAGGAGGTGACGTCCAACAAGAGGAAGATGCAGGAGCTGGAGGACAGCCTGCTGTTCAGGCTCACCAGCACACAGGGCTCGCTGGTGGAGGACCAGTCTCTGATCGAGGTGCTGAGCGTCACCAAGATCACCGCTCAGGAGGTACCAGCTGCTCCTTCACTGCGTCTCCTTAATTCAATTCAATTCAATTCAATTCAATTTTATTTATATAGCGCCAAATCACAACAAAAGTCACCTCAAGGCACTTCATAGATACAGAGAAAAACCCAACAATCATATGACCCCTTATGAGCAGCACTTTGGCGACAGTGGGAAGGAAAAACTCCCTTTTAACAGGAAGAAACCTCCAGCAGAACCAGGCTCAGGGAGGGGCGGGGCCATCTGCTGCGACCGGTTGGGGTGAGAGAAGGAAGACGGGATAAAAGTTATTGTCTGATGCATGTTTGTAATGTTCATCGAGGAAAACATTTAAAAATCATCAGCTGCACTCTATTAACGTCCAAGGATAAAAGTCTGCAGCTGGAATGTGAAGAATAAATCCGCTGTAAGGGTCACAAAATGGGGGGGGGGCGCCCCCTAGGGGAGGCGCAGAGCCCTTGCGGGGGGTGGGGGGCACAGTATGAATAAAATAAAATAAATTTTATAAATAAAATAAATAAATTTTTTTTAAAAAGCGGGATCAGCGCTGGGCTCTTCAAATCACGGACAAACAGTATCCCACATTCTTGATTTTTAGTTCACAAACACGTTTTACTTTACAAACACTTGTTGTAATGACTAACTGCTCCTGACATGTTGGAGATGTTTGCTCTTTATACAGTAAAGTTACAGTGAGATACAAATAACATCAGGCTGATCCTGCCACGATTTGTTCCCTCGGTTCAAATCACAGACAAACAGGATCTCACAGCTGTTTATGTTTTTAAATTTTGCACAGAGAGGCATTTTTTGAAAAATGTATTGACAGCAATGTTGAATATTATTACACAGGAAAAAACAACTACATGTAAAATAATCACAGCGTGACGCCTCTGCCTTTGTAAACGGAGGGACAGTAACTGCGTGTATGTAAGCGTGTAAAACCTGCAGACAGTCAGATTAACAGTATTTTGTCTCTATCTGCCATTCTGCAGTTCATCTCATATAAACAATAACGTGACGCACAGCGTGATGTGAAAAAAAAGCACATACTTTTGACGTTGCGTGACGAACTCCGTATTCCTCGTCCACACGTAAACGCAAAAACTGAGTTTTCAAAAATCTCCATCCTGACAGGATTTTTAAAAATCTCAGTTTTCGGTGATTCGAAACGCCGTTTACGTGTGGACGAAAGCCCCAAACACATAGAAACAGCTGCGTTTTCAAAATTACCCGTGTAAGTGTGGCGTAAAAGAGTTAGTACTTATATTATTGTTGTTGTTATTACAGTTTACTGTTATTTGTTTAATTATTTACTAAATGTTTGTGGTGTGAAATAAACTGCGATGGAGTTTGAAAACTAAATATGTGTGTGTGGTTGGAGGAGGTGTTTGGGGGTGGTGGTAAAAAAAGTTTGGGAGCCGCTAAGTCAGCGAGTCCTTTTATCTTCCAGGTAAGTGAGAAGCTGACGGTTGCCGCGGAGACAGAGGTGAAGATTAACCAGGCCAGGGAGGAGTACCGGCCAGTGGCCACCAGGGGGAGCATCCTCTACTTCCTGATTGTGGAGATGTCGCTGGTGAACGTCATGTACCAGACGTCGCTGCGGCAGTTTCTCGGGCTTTTTGATTCGTCCATGCAGAACTCGGCCAGGTCGCAGGTCACCTCCAAACGCATTAGCAACATCATCAGCTTCCTCACCTACCAGGTGCTCCTCATCAGCGCACACCTCAGGGCTGTCCTTTCTTTCCTGTAACGTGGACTCGAGTGGAGGTTCAGGATGTTTGTCTGTCCCTCAGGTGTACCGTTACACAGCCAGAGGTCTGTACGAGGAACACAAGCTGCTCTTCACTCTGCTGTTGGCTCTAAAGATCGACCTGCAGGCCCGAATCATCTCGCACGTGGAGGTGCTCACCTTCATCAAAGGTTACCTTCTCCTCCTCCTTTCTTCTCCTGCATCCTCCAGAGTCCTTTGAGAGTGAAAGTTGTTTCTCTCTCGGTGTAGGTGGAGCCTCTCTGGACCTGAACTCTGTAGAATCGAAGCCACGGCGCTGGATCCTGGACCAGACCTGGCTGAACCTGGTGCAGCTGTCCAGCCTGCCTGCGTTCTTCCAGATTCTGAACCAGGTGAACCAGAACGAGCGCACCTGGAAAGCGTGGTTCGACCATCCAGCACCAGAAGACGCCCCGCTGCCCGATGGCTACGAGGAGAAGCTCGACACCTTCCGGAAGCTTCTGCTCATCCGGAGCTGGTGCCCCGACTGGACCATCGCTCAGGTCTGACTGCTGATTTGATCTGACAGAGCAGACTGGTTAATGTGGAGGCTAACAGCTGATGGTTGGAGGCGCGGCGCTACATCTCAGATTCTCTGGGCCAACAGTACGCCGAAGGCACGGTCCTGGACTTGGACACCATGTTGGCAGAGAGCAACAACCAAACGCCGATGGTGTGTCTGCTGTCGATGGGCTCCGACCCGACTGAGAACATCGAGAGATTAGCCAAGAATAAGGTGAGGGCGAGTGGTGAAAGGGCGGAGGTGAACGATGATGTAATAAAAAGGAAAAACATCGGAAACTACCGAAATAATTAATACTAAGTACGAATAATATAGTCATAAATCCTATTTAAGCAAGTGATCGGATATTTACTTTAAACCTAAAGAGTGCAGATGACCGGGGTACACAAGAAAATACAGAAATAATTTTTGTGTATTTATAGAAAAATAGCTGAAAGTACAGGAGCAAAAGCAAATTAAGGAAAAATACTGATTTATTTTGTTAAAGCCTAGATTTGATTTTTTTTGCTGCAGGGGGCGCCGTGCCATCCCATCTCCATGGGTCAGGGCCAAGAGGTTCACGCTCGCAGGCTATTGGCCAACAGCATGCTGGACGGCGGCTGGCTCCTCCTCCAGAACTGCCACCTGGGACTGGACTTCCTGGATGAGCTGCTGGAGACGGTCACATCAGCCGTGCCGGAGAGCGCGCACAAAGATTTCCGAGTGTGGCTGACGACCGACGTGCACCCCAGGTAACAATGACGAGGTCTGAGGTCCTGCTTTAAGTCCTGGCGGCTCCTCTGCAGGTTTACTTTACGGCACATTTAGTCTCAGCTTAAACCAGCAGAGCTGCTTGACTGTGTTTGTGTTTGTGAGCAGGTTCCCCATCACCTTCCTTCAGTCCTCCATCAAGTTCACCAATGAACCTCCTCTTGGTAGGAGACGTGATCCTGATGAACTCGTGAATTTTTATTGATCCTTCGCTGTCTTTCACTTTCCCACTTATTTTATTTTATCTGTCGGCATCAGGCATGAAAGCCGGTCTGAAGAGGACTTTTAATGGTGTCACTCAGGACCAGCTAGAGATCAGCAACCTGCCTCAGTGGAAGCCTCTGCTGTACGCTGTGGCCTTCCTCCACACCACCGTCCAGGTATCTGCCAACACCCACACGATCAGATTCATAAATCCACCGTTTCTTTGTGGAAAACAGCTCCTGTAAGATCATTCTGATGTTATCATTTCTCCTTCTTCTTCTTTATCCCATCAGGAGCGTCGTAAGTTCGGTCCGCTCGGCTGGAACATCCCCTACGAGTTCAACCAGGCAGATTTTACCTCCAGCATCCAGTTTGTGCAGAACCACCTGGACAACCTGGACGTGAAGAGAGGCGTGAACTGGAGCTGTCTGCGCTACATGCTCGGTCAGTCTCTTTAAACCTGCTCTGTTCTTTCCACTGTAACGTTTCATCCATCAGATTATGAGAGAAACCTCAAACCCTCCAGGTATCCAGAAATCTTCCTGACTCTTTCTTCACGTCTGCTCTCCAGGTGAAGTCCAGTATGGCGGTCGGGTGACGGATGACTTGGACAAACGGCTCCTCAACACGTTCACGAGTGTCTGGTTCAGTGAGAGCACCTTCAGTGAAGCTTTCTGCTTCTTTAAGGGCTACAGCATCCCTGCCAAGGCCAAGAGCATCCAGGAGGTCCTGCAGCACATCGAGGGGCTGCCGCTGGTCGACTCACCGGAGGTCCGAGCACGCTCAGAGACGGGACGCGTCCACACTGAGGCAGTACTAGCCCAGTCACATGTCACATTTCTCCTGTTTACAGGTGTTTGGACTCCACCCCAACGCTGACATCACCTACCAGACCAACCTGGCGAATGACACGCTGAGCACCATAATCGACATCCAACCGAAGGACACCGGAGGCGGGGCCGGGGAGACCAGGGAGGCCAGCGTGCAGAGACTAGCCAATGAGATGCTGGAGAAGCTGCCACCTGACTACATCCCACATGAGGTGTTTGTTTAGCACCGAACGGCCGACCCAAAACTCGACGAAGAACACAATCCCACCAATCAGCCGTCAGCTAGCTTAGCTTAGCATGAATACTGGAAACAGCTGAGCTGCTGTGTAAGCAACAAGCTGCCAAGTTAAAAACAAAAATGTGCTCATGTTCAAAGCAGCTTTGTTAGGCTCAAGAAACACACGCAGCTCTGTGCAGCTCAAACAAACAGTGTGCTAATACACGAGTGTCAGAGATGCAGGTGAGCAGCTTTGGGTACGTTTGGACCGAGCCAGGGTAGCTGTTTCCTGTCTCTAATGTTTATGCTAAGCTAACATTATTGAACTTTGACAGGAAGTGAAAAAGAATGCAGAGATAAATATGACAAAGCACAGTGTGGTTGTACTCTAGAGCCCGGCTGCTAACCCCGACCGTCGCCCAGTGAATGATGGAAACGAGTGAATAGATTTCAGACAGCAGATTTGTCAGCGTCTGATTCTTTTAGATGAATTCAGACTTTAAATCATCAGCAGAATCTGGCATCTCTGAACCATCAAACACGAACACGTTCATGAGTCCTCTGGAGAAACATGACGTCTCTGTGTGTTTTGAAGGTCAAAGGTCAACTCCAGAAGATGGATCCTCTTCAGCCAATGAACATCTTCCTCCGACAGGAGTTGGACCGAATGCAGCGTGTCATCAGCAGCGTACGGAGCACGCTCACTGACCTCAGACTGGCCATCGATGGTCAGTCACACACACACACACACACACACACACACACACACACACACACACACACGTGTTCACTGACGCTCGATCTGACTCGTGCTTCCGCCGTTGCAGGGACCATCATCATGTCTGAAGACCTGCGCGACGCCCTCGACAGCATGTTCGATGCTCGGATCCCGCGCCTGTGGCTGAGGCTCAGCTGGCCGTCGGCCACGCTCGGCTTCTGGTTCAGCGAGCTGCTGGAGAGGAACCAGCAGCTCAGCGCGTGGATCAGCGCCGGCCGGCCCAACCAGTTCTGGCTCACCGGCTTCTTCAACCCGCAGGTTGGTTCGTTGTTCCGGAAATCTGGAGTTTTGGAATTCTTCAGTTTTCTTTCCGAATGTTTTTTGTTTCTTTAGGGTTTCCTGACCGCCATGCGCCAGGAGACGACACGCTCCAACCTGTCCAGGGGCTGGGCCTTGGACACGGTCACCCTTAGCAACGATGTCACCAAGATGATGAGGGAGGACGTCTCAGCTCCGCCCCCTGAAGATGTGGTGGAGTCTATATCTATGGCCTCTTTCTGGATGGAGCGGGATGGGACAGACGTGGCGCCAAACTCGCTGAGGCTCCGCCCAAAGTTTGTCTTTTTAAAATCAGTGTTTTTTACTTAAATTAAAATAATAAACTGAAGCTTTAAAAAACTTCAGCGTTCAAAAGTCCAACGTTTTACTGTTTCTGTATTTTTTTGTAAATTAACATAAAAACATTTTAAGAGTTTTTAAAGATTCATCTAATGAAAAATTATGAATTATTAATTGATTCAGAAACTAAATCTAAACTAAAGTTTAGGAACTAAATGAAATCAAAGTATTTTTGTTTTTGCTCAGTAATAATAAGTTTGTCTCGGCCCCTCAGGTCCTCTTCACCCCCTCCCTGTGGTCCACGTCTTCGCCGTCAGCTCAGCCAACACGGCCGACAGTAAGCGCCCCCTGGCGGCGGGGGGCGGTCAGCCTGTACTCGTGTCCCGTCTACAAGAAGCCTCGACGCACCGACCTGAACTTCATCTTCTCCCTGCAGCTGAGGAGCGTGCAGCCGCCCGAGCACTGGACGCTGCGAGGCGCCGCGCTGCTCTGCGACTGCAAGTGATCCAAACGTTGTTGTTCCACAGACACGGACAGACACTGACCGTGGGGCTCTGCTGCGTCTCACTCAGACCTCCCCACAGTTTCAGTTTGAGCTTTTTTATTCTGATGTTCTGATAGTTTCCATTTTTCTTCAGCACCAAACATGTTTGTAGGTTTTCAGTCTGTTAAATTTATGAAAATCAAAATGTTTCCACCGCTTCTCCCTGCAAGTCTCTAATGATAATAATAATAATAATAATAATAATAATAATAATAATAATAATGATAATAATAATAATAATAATAATAATAATAATAATAGTAACATTAATGATTTTGTATGTGACCTCACACAGTAAAGCTGATGTGAGGATCATCTCAGTTCTGGTGATTGTACGAACTTAATGCATAAAATAATAATTTGTTTTAATTAAAAAATTTTCCATCTGTCATTTCCTGAGTGTTTCAAAATAAAAGTCCTGTCTTTCATGTTTTGAATGTGAGGCTGTTCCTGTGATGCCTTCAAATCTGGTTCAGTCTGCAGTTTTTTACAGTTCAGACCCAAAGTGACTCAAATATTTACTTAAAAGAGGTTTTTGTTCGTCTGGGTTTTCCTGCTCAGCAGCGCTAAACAGGCAAAACGCACAAACAGAAAGAAACAGGAAAATATGTGTTTCTTTGAACAACGCAGCAGCAAAATGAAAGACCAGGATTTATTTTTTAATGATTGACAAAAACATTAAATGATCATGTTTATTTTCACATAAATGTTCCATCGGTCCTTCTTTTAGAAGAAGTTTAGAAATTAAAAATACTAATAACACAGCAGGAAAAAGCCAACAGCACGAGTCCTGAAAGGCTTAAAGAGAAAATAAACGCACAAAGAATGAAACAAAAAGGCACAAAACCTCAAAACAAGAGTGAATTAAATCTGACCGACACACAAAGATGCTAAAAGCCCCAAACATGAACCTGTGAGGTCACTAATGTCTGTGTGTGTGTGGGTGTACATGTTTACATGTCTTTGTGGGGACCAACATGCCCGTCCCCACAAGTTTGAAGACATTTTTGGGACTCAGGATGTGGTTTTAGTGTCAGGGACAGTCGGGTCAGGGTTAGGCATTCAGTCTTAATGGTTAGAGTAAAAGGCTGAGGAGAGCATGATGTCAAATAGATGTCCCCACAAGAATATGAAAACACAACCGTGTGTGTGTGTTACTGTGAATTTGTGAGACAAGTGAAGATTTCAGAATCAGTGAATCACCAATCACTTCCTGTTGGTGAAGAAGAGCAGACTCCTCTTCACCAACAGAAATGAAGAAGCTCTTATTTTGACGAGCTCAGCCACGAGCAGAGGCGACCCTGCAGAGGTGAAGGTCACAGTCAGAATCAGCGCCAGAGAACCGCACAAGGACGGCCTCATTGGTCACGGCTGAGTTCATTATGTGATGGTAACAAGCTGATTATTACAGAACAGGAAACACACGTCTGCTCATCAAACACCAGCTGCTGCTGCTTTTATCAGTCTGCCAACAAAACCTCACAAGAAAGAAGTTTGTGTGAGTTTGCAGCGTTCCTCTAAACTGAAAACTAAAACAGACTGAAAATGGGAGCATGCAGCTGCACTCGAGAGTCAGGCAGCTTAAATGTGTTTGTCTTCATCTGTAGTTACGTTTCATTGGCTGGAAATGTGCTAACTGGAATCATTCATGAGTCCAGATCAGGGGTGCCCAATCCCGGTCCTCGAGAGCTACTATCCTGCAGCTTTTAGATGCATCCCTACTCCAACACAGCTGAATCAAATGGTTTGATCTCTTCAGCATGCCATCATGTTTGGCAAAGGCCTGATAACAAGCCATTCATTAAATCAGGTGTGTGGGAACAAGGATGCATCTAAAAGCTGCAGGACGGTAGCTCTCGAGGACCGGGATTGGGCACCCCTGGTCCAGATGAACAAAAACAAGTGTTTACTGCTCCACGCTGCACGAATCTGAGTCAAAATCACTCGGACGCGCCCACGTAGGCATTCCACTAAAACCATGTGACCACCTTTAAACCTGTCGTGAATATAATTTTAGACTTTTCACTTTATTTTGAAAGAACACGTTTGCAGGAAGTGCGGCTGCTGCAGAAACTCTTCACTTTTCACTGGCTTTAATCTTGAAGGTTTCTCCAGATGTGGAACATTCATGCTAAACATTCAACATCTGGCGAGCGTCTCCGTGTAAAACACTGACAAACTCAAACTTTATACGGTAACTGACAGATTTATTCCTCCATTTTCAGGCATTTCACAATGAACTTGGATTAGTTTGATGCTTTTCTTCACGTTGGTGAATAAAACCAGCCAAGAGGCTGATTCCTGCAGAGTGGAGGAATCTGCAGGTCTCTAACACACAACCAGAGCTTCAATCATAACGAGCACATAATAAAACCATGATCCCCCCGATCGACTCTTTCAGCCTGTTTCCTCTGGATCCAACAGGATCTAACAAACCCCAGCTTCTGCTGGGACACTGGTCATCATGGGAGGAAAAAGATGGCTGCCGTGTTGCTGTTTCCTGTCTTACACCAGCATTATACTTCCTGTATCTGTTTTTAATCAGAGGATGAACTTAAAGCTTTCAGTCTGCTCTACAACCCACCACCTATCCACACGTCTGCTAAGTGACTGGAAATCAGTAAAACTTCTACCAGACTTTAGTAAATGTTGCATTAAGATGAGCAGACAGATTTTAATCTCAGCATCGCAGATTTTTCAGGACACTGGAAGAGTTCCTGCCGTGGATTTAGATGTTAGTGTTGTGTGGATGATCCCATTCTGTGATCTTTGTGTTACTGATGCTTTTACACTTTAGGACCCTCGAGACCTCTGCTGCTCAGCCGTCCTGATCGCTGCCTCCACTTTAACCAGAGGCTGTAACCTCTGATCATTTCACCTGCACCGACAGCAAAACTCTTCTCCAGAACCAAACGTGCCATAAACCCATCACAGCTTCATCATCAGCTCAGTGTCAGCAACATGCAGACGACCGAGCAGCAGAAACTCTGCAGGGAACGTCTGAAGTCTGTTCTTCAGTTTTCCCAGCTCACTGTTTATTGAACACGAGACCGAAAAATAACTTCACTCGGGATTTGATGGTAAATGTCCAGAAGCACACTTGCTCTCAGGAGACGGGTTTGATGTTCAGTCTGATTGGATCTGTTCTCTGCTCGCTTCCTTCAAGTGTTCAACACAAAATAATCTTTATTTTATTTTTTAATGAATCATTTATTCTTGTACAGCTACCCAAAAACCTTCCTCTCAGTGTGTCTCAGAAGTCCAAAGAAAGGGCGCAGATCTGGTTTTAGGACAGCTGCTTCATGTCGTACATCGGCACCTCAGATCCCTCCGCTCTGCCCTCGTCTTCGGCCGGCCTGGCAGCGTGAGGGCTGGTCTTGCGGCCCTTGGGAGGAGGGACGGGCAGAGCTCCTTCCGTGACGCCCTCGGCTCCCTCCTGGCCCTCTGCCACAGTCCTCTCCTTCTTCAGGTTGAGCTTGGCTGGGACACTCTTGGTGATGGTGTCCTTCAGCTTCTCTCCCGACTGCTTCAGCCTTTCGCCGGACTGGCGGATCTTCTCGCGCCTCTCGGCCGTCACGATGCGCTCGCCGAGTTTGTTCACCTTGGTGCCCAGGTTCTCGCGGGTCTTGCTCATGTTCTCCTTGGAGAAGGTGGCTTTGAAGCTCTCGATGCGCGTCAGCCCCGTCTTCTTTATGCGGCTGGCTGCCGAGGAGTCGGCCTCCTCCACCACCATGTACTCCTCGTCCGACTCTGGAGGGAGCTCGAACTTGTCGGGCTCCACCTCGGCACTGGCCCGGGCCCCGCCGCTGCTGCTGGGCTCCTCTGGCTCGTTTCCCGGGGCGACAGATTTCACCTCCTGGTCACCCTGAGAAACAGAGAGAGAGAGTGAGAGAGAGAGCAAAGAACAAGCTTGAAAACAAACCGATTCAATGGTCCATGTCTTTTGGTGGACAAAGTTCAGCAGTGATGTCAGATGTAATTGTGTCTTTGTATGAAGTGTGTCATGCAGACTTGTGCTGGGCCGTGATCCTGCATCCAGAAATAACCTGCAGCACCTGTTTCTGCAGCTCAGCGCGCGCCTGCAGGAAGCTAATATCTGCTAGCAGCGCAGAGCAACATGGGATCGCTTTCAGCTCCAGGCTGCGTCACGCCGTGCATCTGTCTGTAACTCTGAGATCAGGTTACGCAGAAAAGCAGAGAGTGAAGCTACAGCTCCACAGTCCCACTCATTCATACTGGGAGCTGCCCAGTAAGCCTGCAGTCTGACCCCACATAGCAAACACCAGCAGCAGGTGTGCTGCTTAAACCAGCCTCCAGTTCAATCAACTCAATGAAAACAGTCCAGATGAGACTGTTTATAATGTTGATCTGTAGTGATGTAGATGTGCTGTGAGCATCATGTGCAGCAGTTTGGACACCAGAGCGGAAAAGAGCCGACCAGGAAATCCGAGCCGCCATCCTGTCGTCTCAGGAAGCTGAAGTTCATACTTTGACGATGGGATCCATAAACGTTGGGCTCAAGTTACTTTGAAATGTCGCGTTCACTGAATGCAGATCACATGGAAATGAATCTAATGAGCAACATGATCCATGAAACATGGAATCCAATCTGATTACTTATGGAGGGTTTAAAAACAAACATCAAAGCTGAACTGATGTTACAAAATGTTCAGATTCTGAAAACTCTTTTTATATTCAGCTTTTACATTTGGTCGACTTTAATCAGTTACACGAACACTGTTATTGCCGTCACACTGTTTATTCCTCATCAGTCTGTTTGATGTTGTAAAAAATGTTTTTCACGACATTTTTTAATGTTTCTGTTCCCAAACTGCTCAGACATCTTCGACTTATTTGTCTGAATAATGTGAATAATCCTGCAGTTAAACCCAAATGAACCTGTTACTTAACTTGTAGTTAGCATGCTAACAGAAGCATCACAGATGTGACACCTGATATGTTTGAGCTGACATTTCCACAGCTCTGATGAACACAGCACACTCAGAGCTGAGCTTCACAGCAGGAAGCAGCTAATGAACGGTAAAAACTCAGCCTCTAAATCGCTCTGATCATCCTGCTGTCGTCGGGTTCATCTGTGCACAAACAGACTGTGAGGCTGTTTGATGCTGAACACACAGCAGTGACTGTGTGCAGCTTTCTGAGGTCATCTTTCCTGAGCTGAGACCAGGACTGAAACCTGAGCTGGATGGACTCGTCCAACAGCAAACAGTTTAACCATTTGACTCATTCTTTGTGGTTAAAAAAAGGAAACTCTGGGACCTCTCTGCTCTGCCAGACTGCAGGAGCAGGGGCCAAATATGGAGGGTTGAAGGCTATGAGCCCATCTGACCTCCTGACATGGGTTGTGTGCTGAGTCCCCACAGCTTTTGCTTCCACTGGGAGGATTTCCTCCATCAGTCTAACTGGGAGCAGGCAGCAGCTAATGAAATGGTTCATAGCCAGAGAGAACGAGGGAGGGCAGACAACTATATTAGGAGATGGAGGAGCTGCAGACTCAGAATAACCTGGTTTGTCAGCAGTCAGCTGGCTCAGTCACTTACAGTACAGCAGCTCTGTGAGCTCAACACGCTTCATTTTCTTCTTACTGCTGTGGAAAAGAAGCAGCTGGGAGGTGTTTCCTAAAGAGGCCTTGGTGGATGTGACTGCCTGCTGTGTAAAAGTCACAGCTCTACATGAGAGGGAACTCCACAGTCACAGTGTCGTTTATTTAGTCAGAGTGTGATCGTCACTCATTAAGTCTCTGAGAGCTTCAGGATGAGCACAACCACCAAACATCAGCGTTCGTCTAAGAACCGAGAACGTAGCATCACAGGATCTAAAAACTCGAGTTAATGTGAAAATTCACAAAACGTAAACAAGCATGGAAGTCTTTCCTATTTCTGCTTCCATCCCACACGGCGTGATGTTTGCATTTCTGTGTGGCCTCACTGACGGGACTGCAACCTGACGCAGTAACAGAACCACGCCCTGCAGTCACCGCACTAGCTTACATGCTAACTTGAATGCTGAATTCACTGCGTCACTTAAAGTGAATGTTTTAATGTTTAACAAGTGCTTAAATCAGCTGATTCTTCACACAGTGAACTAAAAGCAATGCTCTTTGATGAATTAGGTTTCATTGTGTAACGAAGCATCAGTGTCTCTTTATTGCATAAAATTCACAAATGTGTGTGCATCTTTGAGCGTTGCTGGTTTAACAGCTCGTCTTTGTGTAAAAGTTTTGCCCAACTCAGTTATAAAAAGATAAATAATAATCTTTTTATAACTGTTAATAATATATATATATATATATATATACATATATATATATATATATATATATATATATTAAATATATATAAAATTGTAGGTTGTGTATCCTTCAGGTGTTAATGGGGTTATTGAAAATGTGTATATGTGCGTATGTGTGTATATACGTAGGTATGGCTAGATAGAAACATATATGTGTATATATTAAAAAAAAAAAAAAAAAAAAAAAAATTACACATAACATATAATGTAATTACAAGGAGGTATTTCTGTAGTCTATTGATACTAGATAGTGGAAAAGGGGTGGGATTAAATAAGCTTATGCTTCTTCCTGCTCCTTTTTGAACATGGACGTTATTTGGAGTTGTGGTTGCTCGTTTTCCTTTTGTTTGCTTTGTTCATTTGTCTCTTTTAATTCTATTTTTTTTTATACTTTTTCAACATGTTCAAAATAAAGATTCAATCAATCAATCAATCAATAATAATAATGATAATCTGAAATCAATAATACGTGAGCTGCATACAAATCTGAAATCAGTCCTCTTTTACTTTAGTTTTCTAAAGTACATGACTTGCTGTGAGCTTCAGGTCTGTGCGGTAACCTTTCAGCACACTGAAGCTTATCCAGGGCTAAAATAACCGCGTCACTGTCATGCTGCCAGCTGCTAACTGTGAAGGCCAAAGAAGTAAAATGAATCCCGGTGTGCTTGTTGCTATTTCAAACCTCAGAGGTTGAGACTGAGACTTTCATCGGCTGGTGTGAATCTTAAAAGAACTCAGATGTGAATCAACAGTGACATAAAAACAAAACGAGGTGGTCACAAACATGCTCTCAAAGAACACAACAGTCATGTTAAACTCCAGTAAAGATCACAACTGCAGCTCACTTTGAGTTTAACATCAGTGACCACCGCCCATCAGCAGTTTGTGTACTTCATAAAAACATCCTCGGACTTTTCTTGGAATTAAAGACCTGGAGGTGAGCGAATGCCTATTTTAGACATAAACCAGCTGGATCCACCTTTACAGTCGTCTTTCGTCAAACACCAGCTGGCCTTATTAACTTCTACAGTCCAAAAGTTCAGTTTGTCCCCTGATGAAACCGGCTGCCAGGATTACTGTGGACTAAAAAAAATAATGATGCAGAGGCTCAAACCCCACAGAACCCCAAAGTGAGCCAATCCATTACTCTGGCTTCTTAATAAAGACATAAAAGAAAGTCCTCTTTCTAAGATTTAGGATTCTTTGTGCTGATAAAACAATGCTAACTGCACTGGTGCTGTATGGTAGGAGCATTTCACCAGGCCACCTTTAGACACAGAACAGTGACAGAGGCTAATCCAGTCCCCCGGGCTGGTAGCTCCAAATTATATCTTTATTATTGGAATTGGTTTTGCTGGTGTTGACTGTTGACAACTGCTGATTTTGTTTGGGTTTGTCATTTCAGATCTACTGAATCAACCATCCACTGATCTTCAAACAAGAAGAACTACATCAGTAATCCCTTGGTTGGATGTCCAGAAGGACTGTTTCCAACATTCCTTGATCCATGAAGCATATTAAGAACAAGAACTTTCTGATACAGAGAACGCGTGAGAGTCTTACCTGATAAATGACCACCCTGAACTTGTTCTTGGCGAGGAGGTCACCCTGAGTGGCCTCCACCTTCTTGACCCTGATGTTCTGGTTCTCCACACGCACCCTGACATCCTTGATGTGCCGGCTGACCTTCCGTGTTTTCTCCAGCAGCCGGTCGACGGTAGAGCTGGTGTTGGCGTGCTCATTGGTCAGTTTGACAACGTCGGCCTGGATGGTTTTGACCGTGCTCTCCAGCTCAAGCTGACGCTCCTCCATGCGCTGCTGTGTGACCTGGACGCTGTCCATGAGGCCCGCCACGCGTTCCAGCAATGCCATGATGCTACCCGCATCATCTCCGCCACCAGTCGTCATCCCCGGTTTATCGGTCATTCTTGCTGCTTGGTTGCTGGTAATATTCTCGTTGCTTGGTCGATCGACTGTTTGTGTCCAGTGATCCAGAGATAAAAGGAACAAAGTAATGAGGAAGAGGAGGATGACTTGGACAGGCAAACTCCAGTAAAATGTACTCCAGTTAAGAGTGAAATTTGAAAGATGTGAAGAACAAAGATATGAATTCGAGGATGACTGTCGAAACACTGGGAATATCCAAAGGAAGACCTCAGAAAGGAAAATTAAAGAAAGCAGGAGGACAGGAGGACCAGATCACCCCTCTACGACTGGAGGGTGACCCTGAAACTGTTCAGATCAACTCATAGACTCCACCCTACTGGGAGAGAAAGGGAGGGGGGTGGGGGTGATCGGAGTCAAGAGGAGGGACGGAGGGAGGCTAAAAAGAGATGAGCTAAAATGCAGTGGGAGCGTTAAAGCGGAAGGTGGACCGGAGCAGTGAGGATCACGTTGATCTGACTTGGTAAGTCACGTTGAGGCCCTGAGGAACACCGAACTAGCCAAAACTTTCCATCAATCAGAGGATTTTTAAGTGGAAATGGATATTACGGGAATGCATGTGTTAATGAGCGAGAGAGATAAAGAGTGACATGGATCCCAGCTTCTCTCTGTGTTCTCGGCTGCTAAAAATACAGCGAGGGTAAAGTGACTCCCTGTGCTTCTTTGGGACGTGAGCATATTAAAAGGAATGGAAACCCCCTCCCATCTATTTCTCCACATCCATCTATCCCCCATCACCTTTTCACTTGTTCTGTCTTAATCCCTCCCTCCAGGTTTAGACGTTTTTGGCACCCCAGGCCTCCAAATGAGCATTCATGATGCTAACACTCGCCTTCACTGCCATCTTTGTTCTTGACTTGAGCCGGGTAGTCCAAGTTTGGATAAGGAAGTGGAGCAAGAGATGGGAGGAGCAAGCAGTCAACATCACGTTGTGATAGGCTGAGCTAACTTTCAGTCAAAGTGAACACATTTTAAAATCATGTCAAGCTCTGCTATCTCACATGCTAATTTTCAAACGCCAGATTTTAGTAGGAGCATGAAGAAGTGTTCAGTGGGAACGCAGAGGCACGATCGAACTGTGACAGGAGGCAGAAACACTTAGTATTGTTGTTTGCTCGTAGACTTAAATTACACCTTTCTTGAAAAAAAAAGTATTGTTGTTTTATAACACTTAATACTTCTTGATAGGTTCAGTTATACTCGTCTGGGTGCCGGAGTTTCTGCTTTACTGTATTAAACTCTTACAAAGCTAAAGTTTGAACCAGCCCAACAGAACCACAGATATATTCTTTTTCATTCATATTATAATCTGATGTCACCCACTGAGTTGTAGCTGGCACCTACAGTTAGCACATAGCATGTAGCCTTTGCCAGTTAGCTAATTTATCACAATGTTTGCAAAACCACCACCTGTGCTTAATGGTCCAGCTTGCCCACTAAACCCATAAGTTAGCAGTAACATACTGGTCTTCCTAGAAGTTCAGCTTGAGTCTTCCAGGTACAAACATATACTTGGTTGACAGTCTGACAACTGCGGCTAATTGCTGCGATGATAATGAATAAAAAGACGATCCTAGAGAGGTCGAGCGGGGAATTCTTGATAAAATGACAAAGGGAAGAAGGAAGAGGAAACACTAATGTTTGGACATTTACTTTAGGAAAAATGGGAAATAAATGCAGTGATTTATTGCAAACATGCAAGCATACATGGAAAAATAGTGTCTAAGGCAAAAACAGAGTTTGTAGTAATTCTACCTTGATGCTTAAAAGTCAGTATTCTTTATGAACACCTTTATTCTTCAGCTCAGTCTGAACTCTGTCATCTCTGTAAGTTACCACTTGTCAGGGTTTCTGGGTCTTTGACCCAGTATTCCTAGTTCATGTTCACTGTTTATCTACTGCCTGTTCCACTTCCTGTTTTATTGTGTTAGCCTTGGTCTGTGTGCATTATGTTCAGTCCTCTTCCCATTATCATTAGTTCATTATGTTCAGCTGTGTACTCACCGGTCTCTCATTATCACCATTATCACCAGTCTGTGTATTTAAGCCCTCTGTTCTACCCATTCAATGTCGGGTCATTAATGATGTATGTCTGATGTCAATGTCGTCTGTATGTCCAGTCAGTCAGTCAGTCCTTTGTTCATTCGGTCAGCCAGCCATTTCCTCCCTCTGTACTGTTTGCTCACTCCTTCGGCAATAAACATCCACCTTCACCTACCTGCCTGTGAGTCCAGCGTTTGGGTCCTCCTTCTCTCATCCACGACACTACCCTTGACACCACTTCAGTCATGCTGGCGTCCGGCTCCGGGGAGGCCGATCCATGACTGACAGAGTTCCTCTGTCTGTTTCTATCCAGATGTGCTTTCACTGCACTGGCCGTGTGTTTGGCTCAGTATCATGCTGAAACACGAAGCTGCTGATAATCAGATGTCTCCAGATGTTCCCGAATGGTGGCTCAGATTCTGATGTAACTTTTCTGAGTTTATAATTCATCAGTTTATCAAAGATCTCCAACACCTCTGACTGACCTGCAGCTGAAGGCCTCGCACTTCTTCTTCTGTACAGTTTTCTCAGAGTAGGATACATTGCACGCCATATGCCAAGTTTCCAGCCAACAGCTCTTTGGGAGTCACCTTGTTGGTGCAAAAATACAATTTTATGTCCATTTAAAAATGAAAAACAAAACAAATGTTTTGTTTGTGACCTGCTTTTGAGCTTAAAGATACAAAACTCGGCTCTTTGGTTAGTCATCTGTTATGTTAGGACACAACACTGGTTCATTTCTCGAATTAGGAGTCTTCTTCTGCCTGAAAGATTCATAGGTCAGATGTAGTGGTTCAACAAACCCAAAAGCCCTTCCTCTGAAAACGGTGGAGTTTAAAGAAATTAGGCGTGGTTCACGACTTCTGCACAGAAGCACACATGGTGGTAGTAACTTCTGACATCTGTTTCATGGCATTTTGTTGTGTAAGGTTCAGCAGGATGAAGTAAAACCACTCATAATCATTGGTGGTCTGAGCTTTCTGATTTTCTCTTAACATCTGTGAACATACAAAGATCGGAAACATAATCCAGCTCCTGCTTTTGAACCCTTTCCAATCGTAGCCCGACCTCACCAAAAAAGAAAGAAGAGCGTTCAAAGCTCTGACATGCAACCCATCATTACTTTAACCTTCCAGAAGAAAACAGAGAATGAGGGAGGTGGGCCAGAATCAGGTGAAGACAGAAGGGGACTCCCCGCTGTCTGAAAGCTCTCCACCAGCTGCTGCCTATAATTATCCTGCCATCACTGCTATATTTAACCGCACCTCCCTGCAGAAGACACGAAGGCTTCATCAGCCACCGGGCGCGCTTGGTTTTCGCCTCTCAAAGGTGTCAAAATTTAATGTGAAGTAAAAACACTTGAGATGAGATAGGAAGGAGTTTGAAACCTGCCACCGGCCCAGCTCGAGGTTCAGGCTGGAGCAGATGTGCAGCTTGGAACCTCTGAAAATCGTTAGGTAGAAGGACCGGAAAAATGCTGAGAAACTGGCCAATGTTCAAAGACCCTGGAAGGCCTTCGGAAACCTGAAGAACAGTTGTTCTGTCCGGCTCCTTCTTAGCACGGGTCATAAATAAGCTGAAGCCCTGACGAGAGGCTGGGAAACCGTTCATACAGCAGGAAGCGCTGTGTTCTGGAGCCTCGCTGGTCAGGCTACACGATAATCGATGGGTCCAACATGGCGGACTTTCAGCTCGCTGAGGTGCTCCACCTGAAGCGTCACTGACTGTTACAGCTGCGGATGAAGCGGACTCATCGGGGTCTCTGCTGCATCCATGTGGCCGGCTGAGATCCAGGATGTGGAATCAGCCGAGAGCCCACTTCAGTTTTATATTTCAGATTCAGAGCATCCTCCCTGTGCTGGCCGCGTGTTCAGCTTCTTCACTCGGTAGCACGTCTTCAGACGCTCATTTAGACTTTATTCATGCTGTCGCACTGTCATACCCATATTTATATGTAATCTTTAAATAGTTCAAAGACTATAGTTAAAACACTCTGAGGCATTTTTAGACTAAAATTCAGGGGACTTGTCACGGACTGGAATCTGCTGAAGCACAGTTTGAATGCACTTTTACTTAATACCGTTATAATCAAATGAATCAAATAATAACATCATGGATATGACTGTGTTTAATGAGCACTGTGCTTGAGGCCTTTGACCATCAGAAACTATTTTCAGGATTTATTTCCATCAAATATTCAGATTGTTGGGATGAGCGAGTGAGAAACTGAGGGACAGATTATTGACCCGTCACCACTGCCCCCTGCTGGGCATTAGGAAAGACTGCAGCCAGTGCATTCATACCTCCAGGTGTTTAAGCATGGATCAGTATCAGCTGTGAAAACAGGTCCAGATGTTTGTGTGAAGCTTTATTAAGAGGCCGGCTCAGAAAACGGACACATGAAGACGCAGAGGTTCAAACATCATAATTTAATGCTAATTCAGCTACAGCACAGTCTAAACAACAACTTCACGGTTCATGCAGGATCAACATCTACAGCAACATCTGGCCCGTTCCCTGCGACAAGCGCCACCAAGACCGTGGCGGTTCACCTCAGGGCAGCGGCGCGCGAGGCGAACCCGAGCCCAGCTTATCGGCCTACTCCTTCTAACACAACAAAACAACCAACACGGACACGTGGTACCATCGTTACGAATCAGAATGAAGATAAAAAGCTTGACGAGGTCCTTTAAATTATCGCCAGCTTGTCCAAACACACAAACATTGGAATCCATTTCCGGAATGGCGTCATCTGAAAATTAGGCAATAAAATAATTAGCATAGCAACCTGTACATGTCGGCTTGTACCTCATTATTATTTTTAAGCAGTAGAAAAAACAGCATTTTGGTTTTCAGGTGGATCTCATTGTAACAAATACAAAAAGTGTTTAAAGAAAGTTTCTCTAAGGAGACGTGACGTTTGACCCTGTGAGACGTAGCAAAGTCAAAAACAAAAAACACGCCTGAGATACGAGTCGGCTCACATCTGAGGGGCACGGGGCTCCGGTGGTCCCTGATAATCCTGTAGTCCCGCTGCACAGCGCCCCCTGGACAGTTAAGGCGGTACAACACATGCGTGACAAAGTAAACAAAGAAAAACAAGAGAAGTTGGCCAAACGTGAGCAGCAGTGCATCATGGGAATTCTCAGCATGGCAACGTCCACAACACACGTTCATTAAACCTTCAAAGTGGATTTCTTCTGCTCATTTCCAGCTCCACCTGTTTGTCATTACACCGCC